CTAGGTAGATATAATTTCATGGAAAAACCTAACTGAAAGTTAAATCACATTTTATACTTTTAAAATTACTTTTTTACCACATGACTGAATTTTTTATTTGAAACCCCAGTAAATTTTGTATTGTCATGAAGACATAAAAAATCTTTGGTAATGTTTTTAATTAAATAGGAAGATCTATTAATGTTCTAAGATGTTACGTTTAGGATTAAAATAAACACAGTTACTATGATCATTTTTATGCCTTCTACGCACTAGAAACAGGCATATATTTGGAAAGCAGTGCAATAGCAAATGGCATCTGATATGATTTCTAATGAATCTGGATGTTAGATCTGGATCTTAGAACTCTTTATTCTGCCGTCAATGAGTCCAGGTGTGCTTATCCTGTTTGGTTTATTCTATGGTCAATTGGCTTTTCTTCCTAGCTTTGAAATAATTATAAGAAAAGTAATTTGAATAGCTCAATTATGGTCATTAAGAAGAAGGCATCTTAAACCAATGCTTTTTCAGTAGGTCATATTTAGATGAGTGGATTTCTATGTGGCTGTCCTTCAGATATTTTTATTTTTGTTGGCCTTATCTAATAATATTAAGTGCTTTTTCAGGGCATAAAAAATGTCTGTGATTTTTTAAAAAAATTTTTTACCATTCCACTAGTTGGAATATCATAATAATACCCTTTATTCTCCGATCTCCACACCACCGTGCCCATGTAAGAGATTCATTTTGTGTTGAGTTGAAATGTTCTTGGTAAAAGCACATGCAATTTGTGTTAGCCTTATGAAAATCTGTAGAAATCATCACATCTATCAAAACTACTGGAATTTTCCTTAAAAACAAAAATAATCCCAGCCGATACTGGATCTATATCCTTAAAATGAAAACAGTTAATGGTATGGCCTCATTGTTCCAGACAAAATTTCAGAAAGTGGCAAAGTAATGTGATTTCTGATAAATTTTCAGTTTTACTGTAATAATAAGCTACTAGTCTTAGCTGTCAGTTTAGCAGTACTGCTGAACAAATTCTTTTACAAACTGGACATTTTAAGGGCTAGTTCCTTGTTCAATTTCCAGTTATTTGGAGAACTTAACCTAGCTACTATGTTTTCTAATTCAAAAGAAGAAATCCTTTAATTGATGAGCATTTAAGTTATTGGCTAGACTTCCTTTTCAAGATTATGCCAGTCCTAGAGATGTATTGTTCAAATACAAATCAAAAGTAAAATATTATATTTGTTTTATGATTGTCTTTGTAATTATGCCATCTTTGTTTGCCCAGGTTATAATTTGTTATTAACTTCTTTTTAATGATAGACGAATCCTTAGTACTGTGGAAAAGAGCAGACAGAAATATAAACCAGCTTCTCTCACGGTGGAGTTCATCCCTTTCTTTTATCGTAAGTAACTCCTCTAGTTTTTCTTACTCTGATTATTCTTTATTCTTGCTCTGATTCTGACCTTGATTCAGCTCGTAAATGTATAACATAAGATTGTAAGAATATGTCACTAGAGTATGGCACATGATTTGTGTTTAGCTGTGATTATTGTTCTTGGTTTTATTTAATTTACTCTTCTCAAAGTGTTTTGAGAAGAGTTGAATATTTTAATGATAGTAGTATATGTTAGAACTTCAGAAATTCTACTAAAAATACGAAACATAGAGAGTTGACCACAATATTTGTGACTTACATGGGTCCTAATTTTCTTTCTTAAAAAACAATTATGCGGGTGGGCATGGTGGCTCACACCTGTAATCCTAGCACTCTGGAAGGCTGAGGCAGGAGAATTGCTTGAGCTCAGGAGTTCGAGACCAGCCTAAGCAAGAATGAGACCCCTGTCTCTATCAAAAATAGAAAATAATAGCTGGGCGTGGTGGGGTGCATCTATAGTCCTAGCTACTTGGGAGTCTGAGGCAGGAAAGTCACTTGAGTCCAGGAGTTGGAAGTTGCAGTGAGCTATGATGATGCCACAGCACTCTACCCAGGGTGACAGAGTGAGACCCTATCTCAAAGGGAAAAAAAAAGATTATGCCATCTTTCAAAAATACAGAAAAATTTGCAGGAACACTGTATTCCTTGAGTATGTGTTTCCCACTCAAATTTGTCAGATTTAACGTTTTGCCGTATTTGCTTCAGTTCTCTTTTATTTTTTTCCTGTGAAATCGAGCAAGACAGAAACAGTCCTTTATTTGATTGCTTGGTAAAGATGGTTGCAGTGTCCACTCTCCTTGACCACCAGTAGTGATATTGGCTTTAGCTAGATAATAAAATTCACGTATCCACAATAGGCCATCTCTGGAACTGGCCTCACTTAGAAGATATCACACAGGAATCCTGCATGCCAATAGAACAGTGTAAGGGGTTCCTGTTCAGCAGGAGTCCTCATAGCAATCCAAGAGCTATTCTTGGGTCCTCCAAGTGAGGTTGTGAGATCAAATTGGTACATATGGGAGACACACTGGCTTAGAAGTGCTGTAGAGATACTGAAGCCTTTGTATCTTGTATATATAGGTCATGCACATATTTTATTAATTTATCCCAAAGTATTATATATTTTTTATGCTTTGTAAGTGATTTGTTTTTAATTGTATTTTCCAAGTGTTTGTTACTGGCATATAGAAATACAATTTATTTTTGTATATTGATCTTGTAT